CAACGAAGGAGTGGCTTCGTAAGAAGCATTTCAAGGTCCTGGAGTGGCCTAGCCAGTCTCCAGATCTCAGCCCCTTAGAAAACCTTTGGAGGGAGTTGAAAGTCCGTGTTGCTCAGCGACAGCCCCAAAACATCACTGCTCTAGAGGAGATCTGCATGGAGGAATTGGCCAACATACCAGCAACAGTGTGTGCCAACCTTGTGAAGACTTACAGGAAATGTTTGACCTCTGTCATTGCCAACAAAGGATATATAACAAAGTATTGAGATGAACTTTTGATATTGACCAAATACTTATTTTCCACTATAATTTGCAAATAAATTATTTCCAAATCAGCCAATGTAATTGTCTGGATTTTTTTTCTCATTTTGTCTCTCATAGTTGAGGTCTACCTATGATGCCAATTACAGGCCTCTCTCATCTTTTTAAGTGGGAGAACTTGCACAATTGGTGGCTGACTAAAGACTTTTTTGCCCCACTGTAACTCTCACACATTATAATGGGTCCAATACATATAGTTGTAGGCATGTGCATCAACTGCAATATAGTTGGTGAATTACTGTATCTACTTGGATACCACATACAGTTTAACATATTTTAACAGTGGCAGTTCATTTTTTTTATAAAGATCACATGTTGATGATTCTCTAAAATGTATAACAAATGGGGGAGACTACCCTGGATGTGATGCAGTAAACCATATTAATTTCAGTTATCTTAAAAAATCTCTGGCCAAAAGGAGAGGTAATACTCACATACACTTTTCCTCCACTGGAGCTAATTGGACAAAGCTCTGTTGGGTTTTTTTGCCTTCCATTGGATCAACTGTTGGTAAAGGTTTTTGTATATGGGGATCCTCTGTTTATTTATTGTAATTTTTTTTTCTATTGGTTGAACTAGAAGGATCTAGGGGAGGTAAGAGTGAATAGTGATGGAGATTGTCCTGGTGACAGGGCAGCGGAGAATAGCAGACTTCCAAGGTTGTAGGCAATTTCTCTTCTAATTGGAGCTAGAAGCATGGGCATCACATGGGACGTGTGACAAAGTCTAGTTGAAAATTATTATTATTATTATACAGTGTTTATAAAGCGCCAATGGTTCACTCAGCGCTGTACATTACAAAGGGGGACAGAACATGTAACAGAACAATACCAATACAATGCAAAACATGAGGGGATCGAGGGCCCTGCTCTTTCGAGCTTACAATCTAGGAAATGACAATAGCATGAGAGATAGTGTGCTGAGGAAAAGACTGTAAGGATACAGAAGTCAATCAAGATCATCTTTTACGTATATATAACATAAGATCAAGAGCATTTTAGGGTCATGAAGTTGGTACTAATCCTTGATTATTACCATATTTTACCCCATTCCACATGTTCCTATACTCCTCCAAAAAACCTCAGGCCCATATAATTTTAACGTTCCTAAGTATTTGATATTGTAAACTGCAAAGACCAACAGCTCTGCCTATAAACTTAGCCCCCTTTCAGCTACATATTTTTTCAGTATAACAATCATTTAACATAGCTTATCACAAGAATGGAGTCCCTATAAAAAAATGTAATTCACACTTGCCTGGTGGTGCTTGATCTCTAAATGCGTTCCTTGTTTGTTGCATCCAACCTAATTTTATTGCATTTTCAAATATTTTTTTAAAGCAAATAACATTGTAACTCATGATGTATGACTAAGTAAAACAACATATCCAAAAATCATATCTCTAAAATGTGGACAGCCCCATCTCACTTACTTATTACAATCCTATCCTTAGATTCACATACACAGCCAGTCTTTTCCACACAGCTATGACCTTTCCAAAAATGTAATTAATCTTTAATCCCATTATTTAAGAGTACAATAAACTTCTGTTAAGTGGAATTCCAGTCAAAATTGAAAATTTGCCCATGACTACTATGTTAATTATCTTTAATTTTGCTATTATTCATTTTCAGGCTTGTTGATTGTCTAGCTTAGAAAGACTAATGTGAGCTAGACAATGACTTGCCTGCTCAGCTGAATTTAACAGCTCTCAGGAACTTTCTGAAACCGTCGCCGGTCTGTGTGTGAGAAATCCAACAAAGGATTGAGTAAACCTTCCCTTGTCCTTCCAAATCCCATCCAGCACCCCCCTATTCCTCCCAGCCATCAGCAGGATAAGCAGTTTAGCAGGGAAGCTGGTGGTGAGAGGAGAGCTACTGCAAAGCTAGTACAGTGGCTCACCTCTCACCACCAGCTTCCCTGCTAAACTCTGCTATTGCAGCTGCTCACGTTCGGAACTCTGCAGCCTTCCATGGTCCCAGTGGATCCTTCTCTGAACATGATGACAAGCCTTATGTTCCCCTACACAGAGTGAGAACATTTCGTTATTAACATTTTACTTCCCATTAAACAACTACACTTAGATGGCTGTTCTTTTCTGGTTTGTTTTTGTTTGTGCATTAGGTAGCTCAAGCCCATTTTATGTGGAGCTGCAACCACTAATATAGTGACTTTTTATTATCCACCCACTCATGTTTTTTTTTTTTTTAGCATTAAAGGGCACCTGTCAGCACAGTTGGCTTTTTACCCTTTTATGTAAAGCACATTGCACCTGTATACACCACACACAAAAATACACACTCTACATGGTGGAATCCAGGGGATTTTACTGCACATTTTGAGTTACACTCACACTACAAGGTGTGATGTTAAGGTATAGTGTTCATTGTAGACTGTGAGCTGAACTGAGACCCCAGCACACTTCCACCTACACTGACAGTCCCTACTGAATTGAGCTTTGGATTGCTTTAAAAAAGGCCTGGATTATTTCTTGGATACACAGAATATAACTGGATACTAACATTTATAGGTAAAATTGTTCCAGGGAATATCCGATTGCCTCTCGGGAGATCAGGAAGGAATTTTTTTTTCCCCTGCAGGAGCAAATTGGATAATGCTTTGTTGGGTTTTTATGCCTTCCTCTGGATCAACTGTGGGTGTAGGATTATAATTTTTTTTTTAATGGTTGAACTGGATGGATTTTTGTCTTTTTTCAGCCAGACTAACTAGGTAACTATGTAACTATGTAACAAATCTTGTATACATGGCAGCAATTCCCAGTGTCAATGGCTACACTATGTTAAAGTTAATAATAAAATATAAAGTTGAAAAAGAATTAAAAAAAACTGTCGTCATCCAAAATATCTTGACCTCTTTTTTTTAGTTTTCAGCCTGTGATACTTTGACTGACAAATGCTTAGTTGTGCAACACTAACCCCAAATGGTTTTATATCATTCTTTTGACACGGGTTTTTTTTTTGGTGGTTTCTATTATCCACATTTTTTTTTTAATTTTTACTATATCAATAAAAACAAAAACATTACTTTCTGTTTCAAAACACGGCAAATAAAAATGCCAGGACAGTACGAAAAGTCCCAAAATGACTCCTTTATGGAAAGTAAAACACCCCAAGGTGATTCTTTTCTTGACACACTCTTTTGCAACTGAAACATGCACTTATTGAGGATATACATGGAGTTTGGTAATGGTGCATGAGATACGTTAAGTGCACAGGTCATACAGAGAGGGATCAGGAGGTAAAGAGGTTCATTTACAGTTGTGTGGGATAAGGGAGGTCGGGGGTAAATATACAGGTCAGATCAGAGACAGAATGGCACTCACACATACAATAGAGTGGTGAAAAAACCGTAGAGGAGTGGATTTTATAACGGTTATTGGATTACACTGGTCCTGGCTGGTGGTCAGGAGGTTTTCTTTCCTCTCATACCGATGGGCATGTGAGGGCGTCTTAATCACCTGCCAGTAAGTGAGACACAACTGCTAACAGCATACTTTGTTTACATTCAGCAGTCAAGTGGTACAGAACCACTCTCATGGGCTCTGTACCTTTTGCCTGTGACCCATTGTTACTAAATCACAATCAGATCACAGGAATGTGCACACTGTGCACGGAGCACAGGTCCCAAAAAATGCACCAATACATTCTCCCCGAACAATAGGGGAGTGGAATAAGGCTCCATGTACACGGGACATTTGGAAAACACTTCTGAACGCTGGAAACTGACTGCTGAAAAATGTAGGTTAAAAAACGTCTGTTTAGCCGCATTTGTATACTGCGATTATGCACGTTTATGTGAGTTTGTTTTAGAAGCGTTTTTTTAAAGATTACATCAGGAGACCTTCCAAAATGCCCAGAATGCACCTGAAAAACAGTAAAAAAAATTAACTATTTCAGACATTTTGAGATTAATAGAGAGAGCAGAAGCAGAGAGAGAATAGTATGTATTGAGATGACCTGTCTTTTCTGGTTGTATTCACTATGGATCCCATCATGAGCATAATGCAGCACGTTCTACCATTTTTTCCTTCACGCAAAACCTGGAACTGACTGCGCTGGTGTGCTAGGTCATTTTGAATACATGCATTTCTGATGATGACAAAAGGCTCTGGACAGAATTTGGACATGGAACAGTTAAAAAACGCTTCTAAACGAAAACGCTTATAAACCTGGTTAGCCGCGTTTACAAGCATTTGGCATTTGAAACGCTGATAAAATCTACTCCTGAACGCAAGTTTGGTGCGTTCAGAAAAACGACTGTAAATTCAACTGCCTGTAAACAACTGTAAACAACTGTAAACAACATAGTGTACATGTACACATAGGAAAACATTAAGGAGAGTTCAGGGGCTGCTGAAAAATGCAGAAAAGCTCCTAAACGTGAGTTTTTTATCAGCTGCAGTGTACATGGAGCCTAACTGTTTATGTACATTGGTCGGTCCATAAGAGGTTGAATAAAAGAAAAGTTTGTGAGGTTTTATGATATTAAATTGAACTAAATGTTTTTGAAAAAGAATATTTTTTAAAAACTACGAAAATCTCAAATGTATTTTCAGCATTTTACTGTGAACATTGCCCATATGCTGCTTAGTGTGCAAACTGTTTAATCCAAATGTATGGTTACCAGTTTTCATATTGTCGGGCTTTCATATTTTCCAGCTGCCTACATAAAAGTTTATCTGCTAGAGAACGGTCTCTGCATCGCTAAGAAGAAAACAAAAATTGCTCGGAAATCATTAGATCCATTGTACAATCAAGTGCTTGTATTTTCCGAGAGTCCACAAGGGAAAGTAGTACAGGTGAGTAAAAAAACTAAAATTCTGATATTTATTTTAAAGGTGAACTCTAGGTAGATATAAATGTCACAAATCAATGCAGCTCTGTAATAATGAATATATCATTGGATGTATCAGTATTTTTTAAAATGGAGTATACATTAAAAGCAATATACTGTATATCCAATTTTTAAGGGATTCAATAGGAATAAAATTTCAAGGTATGATTTGCTGTTTCAAAGAATCTTCAGTTGCTTATTAAATTATAGAATATTGAAGATTCACCCAATTACCAAATAATGGCAAATGCAAATTGGCGCTAATTCAGAGATCAATTCTGCTGACCCAGGTATGAAATTCATAGAGTGTTGGAGGCCACTTATGGACACTTAAGGGAGTATTTAAATCCAAGTGATGTTTTAGTCCTGAGGGGTTGCTAGTAAGTTTAATCATACTTGCATTTTATATCTCTTGGGGATTTATTTGACAAGCTATCTGCAGAGATTTTAGAGTTGTACCCAACTGCCACAGAAATACAAGTCACATTCCCCAAACAGGGGCAGACTGGCCATTTGGAAACTCAGGCACTGCCCGAGGGCCCGGGGTCAGTAGGGGCCCCATGAGATGCCCCTGGTACCTTTTTCATAGGCTTTTTTGAGTTTGAGCAAGGACACAGGGGCCCCATGATCCCCTATTGCCCGGAGGCCCCATGAGTTGTCAGTCCGCCCCTGTCCCCAAATTAATTCTTTAAGTACAAGGTGATTTGTAGCCATATTAGAGCATTTGCAACAGTGCAGTTGAGTAGCATCCATGATACTTTCTTTATTTGCACCAACATTTTTTCAGGACAAACTTTGAAGGGGGGGGGGGGGTCTATCCCTTACTTCAAGGTCCAATCAGAAATGATGTTTAGCAATATTTTAAGAAGTTATCTTAATTATAGATTTGTTTTAACATTTTGCTACACCTCTGGCTTTCAGTAAATCGGTACTGATATCCCATAAGTTATAGTGGCCATTGTGGCATTTGTTTTGAAATAAAAGCTAAGTGACTGGCACATCCTTTAGAGTAGGTCAATAACTGAATAATGAAACACATTCTGTCCTGGGAAATGTCTAAAAGGTTAACACATTCTCTATGTGATAAAAAAAAATGAACTATGCAAAATGCTTAATAGTTTGGCTGATAACAATTCTATGCAAACAACGTTTGTGTCTGCATGTCTCTTAGCAGAACTGGCTGGAACCCAGATCTGTTCAATTTAAAGCCTAACTCCAGGAATTACAAAAATGTTTCCTTGCGTGGAATACTTGCCTTACGTCTTATCCCAGCAGACTCCTGCTATCCATGCAACTAGTCAATGCAAATGGTCAAAGTAAAGTGCAGGACCAATATCCCAGAATTGCACGTGAGGATGGCAAGGAGCCACCCATAAGCCAGAGCCAAGGAGAGCCCTGGAGCCCACCTTATTCCTCATCCCCTAAAGTTAACAAGCATTTATCCCCTGCAGTGTGGGGGCCTTACAGCAAAGGTAGTTTTTTTTTTAATTCCTGGAGTTGGAAATAAAAGCATAACTGCACTTTTAGTCCATATTCATGTGCGCTAATTTATTTATTTCAGGTACTTACTTAGCGCTGTCAATTTACACAAAGATTTACATATATATTGTACATTCACATCAGTCCCTAACCCTCAAGGGGTGTACAATCTAAGGTCCCTAACTCACATTCATACATACACATACTAGGGCCAATTTAGACAGGAGCCAATTATCCTACCAGCATGTCTTTGGAGTGTGGGAAGAACCCGGAGTACCTGGAGGAAACCCATGCAGTCACAGGGAGAACATGCAAACTCCAGGCAGGTGGTGCCGTGGTTGGGATTCGAACCAATGACTCTAATGCTACCAGGTGGAAGTGCTAACCATTTAGCCATTGTGATGCCCCTAATCAACTGATCTGGCTGGAGTTGCACTTAACAAATGTCCCAGCAGTGCCACAGGGGGCTGGTACAGCAATACTTGTGTAAGCTTCCTCTAGAGCAGTGTTTCTCAACTCCAGTCCTCATGGACCCCCAACAGGTCATGTTTTCAGGATTTCCATTATTTTGCAAAGGTGATTTGATCAGTTTCACTGCCTTAGTAAATACCACAGCTGTTTCATCTGAGGGAAATCCTGAAAACATGACCTGTTGGGGGTCCATGAGGACTGGAGTTGAGAAACACTGCTCTAGAGTGATGCTGAGCTTACACAGGGTTTGTTTCCTAACTCCCTGCTGTTGAACAGATGGGTGTGGGAGTGAAGCATAGGGGAGTATGTGCTGGACAGGAACAACAAAACACACATGGTGATTTGCCTTGCATGGGCAAAGCACAAGTTTGCTTGAAGTCAGTAACCATCAAGTGTCCACATCCTCTGCTGTTTATTAAACTAACAATGGAGAATGTGTTACCTGCAAAAGAGGACAAATGGGGAAAACCATTAGAAACATAAGAAAAAGGACAAATTAAAGTGTTACTAAACCCAGAACCCTGCATTCACTATATCTGGTCTCCTACAGTACACAAAACATGGAAATGCAATTATTTTAGTAACTATAAACTGCTAAATACCTTTTCTCATCAGCACTTAGAGCAGTCTTGTGACTTCTATCAGTTTCCAGCAGAGCACAGGTTGAAGCTTGTAGGAGGAGATTTCTTTCTGCTGTAGAAGGATGCAGAACCCCTGACCTCTGTCTGGACAGTGCTGATTGGCCCTGTGCTGATCACATGCACTCTACCAAGAAAGTTCATTTAGAAGTTCATTTACATACCCTCTCGGCTTTGTGTGTATGTCAGACAATGCATTCAGTACAAGATAAGTCCATAGAGAAAGTATAACCTGGCAGGTTACGGTGAGTAAGGCTTAAAGGAACCAAAAAAACCTTCCAGTTAACCAGTGCAAAGCACAGTGAGCCTTCCTAAAACAGAATGTATCTTCTTGTCTCATTTCCATCAAAAATACAAAAAATTATGAATAGGAGAGTGGGCAGAGCCAATCAAACATTCCTTTATGACTCCAGCCACATCTGACATATTTAATACATATTTATAATATTCCTTGTATCAAACTGAAAAGGGAATGAAAAGGGTATAGTTAAATATTGAGTGTTATACTTATTTAATATTCAAGGTTTAATAACTCTTACGTGTGTTTTGAAGGTAATGGTTTGGGGAAATTATGGAAGGATGGAGCGAAAGCATTTCATGGGAGTGGCAAGAATACTTCTGGAAGAGTTGGATTTATCAAGCATGGTTATCGGCTGGTACAAGTTATTCCCGACCTCTTCAATGGTTGATCCATCAACAGGTCCACTTCTCCGTCAAGCTTCACAGCTTTCATTGGAAAGCACTGTGGGACCATGCTGTGAGAGATCTTAATTATTACAAAATAAGACCTTTTGACTTTTTTTTGTAACCGATGCTAAGGCTTTGTTTGGATATCTGACCTCAAACATCTTGCATGTTTGACCAGTTTTCTGGAACCTGAGCTCAACCAAACAACCTTCAAAAAGGAGAAAGGGTGGTTTCTTTCGGTGTATGAAAGTAACCTTGGGTGACTATCCTGGGTCTACAATCGTACAAATACCTCTATTCTCACTTTGTTTGATGTCTCGTTTATTCCTAAACGGAGAGTGAAAATTGTTCAAAGTTGCAGTATCTTTTAATCTACAAAAAAAGGTATTTTCATAACTTTGGATTGAGAACTTTTTAACATTCCTAGAACAACATATATGGACATAGTAAAAAATGACTATACATTAAAAAGGACTGCAACGTATCTTGGGAATAATATTTTATTTATGTATAACACTATATCTTTGTGCTTTTAAAACTGTGCCAATCTACCAGGAAGTGTCTTTTACTACTTGGCCAATGCAGTTGATAATTCATTTGGGAATGAAATATATAAATGAATTAGAGTAGGTAATGAAATAGATAGTATTAATTTGATCAGGGAAGCACTTTATTTTTAAAGTGCTGTTGACCAATATAAATTTAAGCCATTGTATACCAGCATCTAGGTTCATTACATAGTTCATCGCATACAAACTATGTACATTTTTGTGCATGTGTTTAGTACTATGAGACAAATTCTAGTGGAATATACATATGCTTTAAATTGTCCGTTACCATAATAGAAAAAAAATGCTTGAAATAATAAAGTTGACTTAAACAGTAATTTTACTTAGGAGGACAGTGATGCCAGTGTTAGGATAGCTGAATTAGGTTAAAAAAATAATGAAAGTATTCGAAAAATTTAATTTGTCAAAATGTGAATTCAATAATATGGTAGCAAATTTATTTTTTAAAAAAACTGCATAATTTCCCAAAATATTTATGTTATAGTATATATGTTAAGTAACCCTGATTTAAAGCCTCATGTCATGGAGGTAATTAGCGCACAGTATGGTAAGAATGCTTTATATACCATAGTTTTGAAAAAAAAAAAGCAAAAAAAAAAAACTTTGCTTATGGAGCAAAAAATTATGTAGAGTATAGAAACTATTCTGAGATATTGCTGCTGTTTTTAAATGATCCCAAAACCAAAATAGTGATGGTTTATGAGAAAATGTTTATATTATATAAGTGTACATAGATTTCAGAACATATGTCATTAGACATATTGTCAGTCTGAGCATTTTGTCATGCATTCGAACACTTTAGCAACCATATGCGTAAAATCCGGTTAGTTTAGCATGTTTTATTGTATATGTGGTGGAGGATTACGCCTTTTAATTCCACTCACGTTTACTTGTATATATGTTATGTTCGCAAATATTTTAAATGTAGCCTTGCATACAAAAATGATTTGTTGTTGAAATAAGAGGAACTGTGAGCTATAGATATCACTAAATCATCAATGAGTTCTTTCAATTGCTAATATAGCCATATTTTAACTATTTTTTATATTAGATATTTTTTTCAAATATAATTGCATTTTGAACATAAATGTACTTCCAGTCGACTCATCTTGTGCTAGCAAACCTGTTTTGACCCTTCAATTTAGAATAGGGGGTTCTAGTTCATATATGGAAGACAGAGAGAGACCTATTTATATATATATATATATATATATATATATATATATATATATATATATATATAAATAAATGGCCTTCAGTCTAATTAATTCACGTTTCCAGACATGTGGGTGCAAATCATAATACTTGTGTTTTTTTGTTGTGTGTCTAAAGTTTTACTGTTTGGAAGGATGACTAGCCTACCTAAAGGAGCTATCAAGTCTAGTCATTTTTTATAACTTAAATTTTTTGCCAAATTGCCAAAGTTGCCAAGTTGCTACTGAATAATAATTCATCAGCAGCAACATAATTGTCACTGCAAACAGACTGAATGATGTTGATTGGTTGTAATTTCCCATGTTGCCACATTTCTTTATTTTACTGTTGTCATCCTCTATAACAGTCGTTCTCAACTTTCCTAATGCCGCGACCCTTTAATACAGTTCCTCATGTTGTGGTGACCCCCAACCATAAAATTATTTACCCTGTAATTATAATTCATGAAGTGTCGTTTTACCTCCAATACTGCTGCTTTCAACACAGTAGCTGCTTTCAACAGAGTAGCTGCTTTCAACACCGTAGCTGCTTTCAACACAGTAGCTGCTTTCAACACAGTAGCTGCTTTCAACACAGTAGCTGCTCTTTACACATTGGAAATATGTGTTTTCCGATGGTCTTAGGCAACCCCTGTGAAAGGGTCGTTCGACCTCCAAAGGGGTCGCGACCCACAGGTTGAGAACCACTGCTCTATAAACACTAATGTCTTTGTCATTTAATAAGACAAAAAAAAGGATGAATTATTGGCAAGACTCTTTTATTCATCACTTTTGGTAATACGATATGGAGCTTTTGCATTCCTAAATGACTAAAAGTACCAAATTTAGTATTTCATTTTTTAATGCCAGTCAACCATTTTGCATTTTGGTAATTTTTAAATTTATTTTCATGCTAACATACTTATTAATCGCTATCTAAAACAATAATAATTTTACTATAAATCCCTATTCATCATGTATTGATGTTAAACTACTTATAGAATAGTGAACGTTTACTTAGCCAAGTGAATATTCACTAATTGTATTGGTCAATTCAATCCTTGAAGTTATTTGCCATAGAAAATCCTGCTTTTTTATTTTAACTTGTACATGATTTGAATATTTAAAGTGAACACAGCTACGCTGTGTCCACTAAGTAAACATTAACTTTGCTAAGTAAACAATCTCTACTCCTTCATAAAGAAACCCTGATTATTCTCTGTAGTAAAGCTACAGTAAATGGAAATTATTTTATAGAAAATAAACTTTAATTCAGTAAAACTTTTGGACTTCTGTAACTCTCAAATTCCAATCAAATTGCTGCAATTTAAAGAATGAAAGCCTTCATCTGATTAGTTTTGGTTTATACAGTTTATGTTTTTTTTCATATACACTCAACATGGCTGACTTTTTTTTTAATTATGACATTTAGTAAATTAATTTTACATTATTATTTATCAAATTATGAAATTATTTATTTAATCAATTTTTACATTATTATTTATTGAATTATGAAACTATTTATTAAATTAAATGCACTGTACACTTTGCAAGCAACTTTTCACTTAATGAATGTGGTTAAAATTCTCCTTATACAGAATACCCAATCATGTGCATGGAAAACAAAAAAAAAAAAGCATGTTTTTTCTTGCATATGATTAGATGATGGAAGTCAGCAGAGCTTCAGTCACCAAGCTCTGGGAAAATTCCCTTGCAAAGTGAACAGGCTACTTTCCCTTAATAACTTAACCCCAATCCTTCCATGTAAAAAACTAAGCAAGAACTAGCAATGATTTGCAGCTAAATGGAATACAATGATACAGGCCAAAGGCATACAATAGTACCTTAAATAAAACTTCTTACATTATTTAAATTTAACTTAACATTCTAGTTTAATATTTTAATTTAACCTTTATTAGTTATTTAATCACACACAACTTTTTTTTATATTTTGATTCTGTGATTTACACAAATAGAAGGCTTTATATAAGAAACAATGCATTTCATGGTTAATTTATGGTTTGCTCTAAAGGTGATTTCCAAAATTAAACAAATATTTTTGCCTCACATTTCCTCTTAATCGCCTTGTTTCTGATACCATTGCATGTTATAATATGATAGCACTAATTTTGTGCTAAAGCTTGCTTCATAAGTCCACATAGTACTATTAAGAAACTGAAAGGTAATTCTCACACTTTCCGTTCCAATCTTCCTCAAGGTACTTTTCAAAGCAATAATAACACTTTTTTTAAATAACCCATTACACAAAATGTATATTATATATCCCTATTCTTTCCAGTCTGGCCTGTCCGAGCCTTCAAAAGGACCCATGTGTTTAAGGACATATCCACTCAATAGGTAAAATGTATGCATTCTATTTTAGATAAAGTGTTGGGTTGAATCACCAGCTGACTTCCTTTACCTCTGACACCCTCAGAACAATATCAACTAGCTATAGTTTCTGTTTCTTCCATCTTGCCATGCCCATTACAAAGACCGACATGCCCGCTTTAAAGTATTTTCCAGCCTTAATAAAGTTACAGCAGAAGACGTGTGACAAACTCATTGGGCTTTGCAACAGCCATGGAAGAAGATAGAGCAGGAACTTTAGCAGAATTAAAGTGAATCCTCTGGTCAGAGACCCCCAAGAGCTATGAAAACCCCTAGTGGATGGTTTAGCCCAACAATTTCCATTAGAGATGGAATATTGGTTGTATAAATACTTGCATATTTAATATACAGATAACTATAAGCTGGGGAGTTTTAGACAACTTCTTGCAAGCTTTTGCTTTTTTATTCTATAATAGGAAGCACTCACCAGCTACAGTAGGCTTAGGCAAAACATGGTGCCTCCATTTCTAAAGAACTACAAGTTACGGCTTGCTGCTTTAGAGCCATAGTTTGCCTCTGCCAACTCTACAGCCTTAATGGGTCATATTTTGTGAGCAGGCCAAATCTAACAAATAGTTACAATTATTTATGCATGCACAGTTTACTGCCTTTTGAACATCAATTTTAGTGTACGTTACCGTTAGCTTATTAATAATTAGTAGGTGAAATATTTTTTGCGTTCATTTAAATATACCATAATACAGAACCTACATGAGGGCCTTAAAACAGTTGTTATTCAGATGGAAAGGTTAGCAACAAATTTATTTGTACAGTATAAATATATTGACTTTGCTTAGAGTACATTCTACTACTTGTAAATGACATTAAGCAATTATTTTAATTTTTAAAAAGTTTAATTAGCAGGGACATAAATGAAAAGCTAGAGTTGCCACTAAAGTGGTAGTTATATAAACATATATATTTAGATATA